GAACACTTACCTGCTTAAAGAGCTTGAAGGAAATCTGCACAGAGGCAGACACTGAATATGTTTCTTGGGTCCCACATTCGTATCTTAAACCGCTCAATACTTTTTAGATCCTAACTCTCAATGCTAAAAAATATAAGGGGCAAAAAAACAGTGGCCATGACATTGGGTTGAGCAGCAAAATGAAAAAAGCCCAGTTGCTGGTTCGTTGTTCTAAGCAAGTAACAAATGCCTGGTCTTTACAAAGGAGCATAGAACCTCCTGCTGTGCTGTGGTGAAGTGTTTGCAAGCCCTGTGCCATTCCAATGCTTTTCATATACTTGTCTATGAATCCATTGCTTTCAGAGTGCTGTGGTTGGTACCTTCTCACTCCTTTCTCCAGATGGCTGCAGGGTAGATGTTTGCACAGGATTCAGTCGTTTCAGCTTCCTTGAGAGCTGATGCAGAAGGATAGGCAGTACTGAGGCACAGTACATCTCATCCAGAGGTTTGTATGACAGCGAGCTGGAAGATCATAAGGCTTAGAGTTTGAAATGAAGTAAAAGAGGGACAGCATGAAGATGAAGGGGAAGGACTTGACTTAGCCATGACAAGATGCATGAGGCACCAACTGGACCTCTTCCAGCTCCTGTTCTCTCCTCATGAAGAGAGCTGTATAAACTATCTCACAAACACGTAATGAATGCTCCTTCATATAAGCCAGTTGCAAATGTCTTGCCTGCATTTGGATTATTTTCTGAGGGTTGCTTTAAAGGAAGGCTGTATGTGAAAGAGGATGACTGGAAATGGTTTGACCTTTCACCAGAGTCCAGCCCCAACACAGACTGGAAGGACTGCCATTTGATGACTGTCTAATTGTTTTCAGGAGATAAAATGAGGCAAAACCTATCAGCAATAAAAAAAGAGAAAGGCATAAGGAAAGGTGCTTGCCAGCTGGACTAGGGAGAGGCAGCTGTTGGTTGTAAAATGGCTGCTTTGGGTCTGGAAATGCTTCCTCTTGCCAAACTTAAGGAGAAATTGAAGAGTGTGCAGGGAAAATAGTCTCATACTTCAAATAATAAAGTAGAAAGTACTCTCAGGTTATGGTCTTCCTTAGAGTGTGTTTTCTGCAATTTTACAGCTGAGGTATGCTGCCTAGAAGTGGAAAGGTAAAATTAAACCTTTCTCCAAAATTATTTATGGTTGCTGATTTTTTGGTTGCATTAGCTTCAACATTGATAACACAGATAAATCCACCACAGACCACTGTTTACCTCTGGCCTATCCTCAATCAATCTCTTCAGTTTATAAAACATGAGACTGGATTTCCAGTTTGAAGACCTATTACAGACTAATACCCTACCTCCTGCAAGTTTCTATTTTAATAAAACTCCAGACGAGTCCAGCAGTAACAGCAACATTCTCTAGTCTAACTTTGAGATAAATCCAAAAGTCACCACTTAAAACACAAACTGCAGTTTAATCCCCCCCCCAAATCTAAAAAATCTGGTTCAAGTCCTACTGTATAACATGTCAAAGCTTCAAAAAATATCCTGTTTCCCAAATTAAAACAAAACAAAACAACCAACCAACCAACCAAACAAACAAAACCTATCAAGCAGGACCATTTCATTTTTTTGTATTGTGCTCACTGCTGGAGAAAATTTTATCGGGACCCTGTAGTATCCTAAATTCATTTTCACCACTCAAGTCCATAGCTTTTATTGCATATGACATGCTAACTCAAGACATCTCACTGTTCAACATAAAGCTTGCTCTGTCTTATTAGCTACGCAGCCCATAGGGAAAGCATTCAGTGTGATGGGCACCATGTGGCACAGAAATGTCTTGAATGAACAGAAACATCAGGAGGTGCATTCTTCTGCTCAGAATGAGTCTTAACAACAGCTGTTCACACTTTCATGACAAACTTCTTCCAGTTTTGGGCAATTATAGCACCCCTTTCCCCCCCACACACGCTTTTGTGTTGTTATATATTGCTGTCTACTCAGAAGCTGCGAGCAGTGATCTTAGCACAGTTTGTCTTTAAAATATATGTTTGGTGGGAGCATGTATTAAGTTAAACCCTATGTGAACTAGTTATTGATTTTGCTGGTGGAGGGGAGAAGAAAGCACTCAAATACATCTTCTTATTTGCAGTTCTCAACCAGAGACAACCAAATCAAAATCTGACAGAAGTCAGAATGCCTGCGCATCTGGGTTATAAAAGAAAACAATACCAGAAATGCAGATAATTGCCTTTGATCTTGTATAGAAAAAAAGTTTAAAATCTCTGTGCTATGAAATCTGAACTAAGGCTTTTGAATACCATGTATTCCAGTAGGAGAGAATTCATTGCAGAGAAGTCTTAGGGAAAAACGACTCAACCTCCACCACCATCAGCTCTTAGACTCTATTAATGCGCACCTAACAAGGTCACAACGATGAAAGCATTTTTGCTCTAGGGGCTGCTACCTGACTCAGTGTAGACTTTAGTGAGAAATGTGCTGTTCATTTTTTGTGGCTCTCTACAATGTTATTAATTCTTCTATCCTTGCATTGGTTCTGAAATATACATATGAATTTGAGATATGTGCACTGAATGTGAAAGCAACATTGTTTTCACATGGAGTACAGTTGTGGGGACATTTAAACAAGAACAGGCTGCTCTAAACAGAAAACATACTGAAAGAATCAACTCTAAAACCAATATGAGACAGAAAAGTGTATCTTAATATAAAGGGACATTGTTTATAATTTGTATGGCTAAAAAGAGAATGGAGAGCAACATCTGTGTCCTCTTTGGTAATTTTGTTTTACAAATGCACTCCAGCAGCACACACCACAAAAGGGTCTTATGGAATAAGAACTGGTGCAGATTAAAAAAAGAATAAATGCACTTCTATAACTGCAAGATAGAAGGAAGGTAAACAGGTAAGGTCTTCCCTATAATTATCCCTAAGCTTTCTGTCATTTCAACAATGCTATTTATTGCTGATATACATGTTATTTACACAGCAAGAAAAGTTAAAGACATCAGATATATTTCACAAGTCAGTAAAGGCTGACTTGGATCTTACTAACACTGCTTCAGAGCAGTAGTACCTACACCTCACTGTGGACCTGCATGGCAGGGTCAGGAGCTGTCCCTAAGATGGGCAAGGATCGGGGTGACGTCATGGGGCCACCTTGCTTAGGAAAATTATGTGGCCTGATGGTAATGACTCAAGCTGCTCAGTGCTAGTTGGCACCTTAATATACTAATAAAAACATATGAAGAGTCCTAGTGGAGTAGATGGGAGGCTTATCTAGCTAAGTTTCCTGTCCTTGAGACTGCTCAGCAGCAAACAGAGAGGGATGAATTTAAAACACTGGGGGAGTAAAGGTGGCCACTACCTCCCCAGAACCTTCCCACTCCTGGCACTCAAACCAGGCATGGCCATGGCAAGAAGGGCTCAGGATTATCTTTCCCAGATGGGAGACTATCACAAAACAACAGAAGTGAAAGCTTCAGGGGAGGATGCATGCTGGAAACTAGTTGATTGCTCATGGCCTGTTTCTGGTGCTGAGTGGCCCCCACAGAGAGGGGCAGCCAGTGGCAGCCAGTGGCACAGCCAGCATTACACCGGTGGACTTCAGTTTCCCATTGGGATTGCCCTGTCAGATGTCACTCCTCTGTGATGATGTCTTGGCACATCAACAAGGGATAGACAGAAAGGGAAAATTCAGACGAAATGGGGTGATGGCACAGTCAAGCTGCCCAGCCCCAGTATCCACTATGCTAGTCCTAATCAGACACACCTACTTCACAACTGAACAAAAGATGGCTCCCATGTCTGAAACCAGCCTTCATTCAGTTCTGTGATGTTGCATGGTTCAACAGTGAAACTAAATGTGAAGTCTCACACTCTCCCTGATCCTATTCTTTTGTCTCTGAGTTAACTCCAGTCTTCATTAGAGTCTTAGTGATCTTCCAAACCCAGAACAATTGCTTAACAGCCTCTACTTTTTCCCAGTGTATCTTCTAGGAATAGGTAGCAAACACGCTCTTTTGCCCCTTTGTCCCAAACCTTCATCCTAACCCAGTACAGAGAACCAGATCTCAACCACAATGGCCAGAAGCTGTTTTTGTTTACCAACACAAGCTCCAACTTAGCCCTCTGATCTTTGGGAGACCCTATTATAATGGTGGATCTCCTTTTTCTTCCAAACTGTGGCACTTCTCCCCACCTCAGTCACACCACTATCACATTTCAGCAGGTCCCTCCAGCCATCATGGACTCAAATAAACCCATCTCTTTCGCTCTGCTGGTGCCATACCCACCCCTGCTGACATGCTCCAGAAGCAAACTAAGTTTCCAGCCACCCTGTTCTGGTAACTCTTCTAGCCTAAAGCCTGGAGACCCAGCCCAGCGTGAAGCCTGAGCCAGCAGTCGCCACTGACTCTGCCCGGTGACCTTGGCTGAGCCGCTCTCCTGAGCCGAGTGATGGATGATGGGCTCTGCGCCACAGGGAATTTGAGTGCCATGTCTGCATGTGTGTGCAGGCTCTGTGAGCACAGAAGGGAGATCTGAACACCATTTGATCCACTTTATTGACTTTTCTTTATAGTTACAACATGTTAGTAATGTGCTTAACTGGAAGCCAAAGGACTTCTCCCTCCCTTCTCCCCAGTATCAACAAATAGCTCATGGCATCAAAGTTAAACAAAAGCTTTGCATTTGCTTTCTCTGTTATTGCAGTAAATCATGCTGCCCCGTTGCCATAGAAACAGCAGCTACCACAAACATCACTTCATAGTGGAATCAGACCTGCTCCAACAGCCAGCTCTTCTATTTTCATTCTGATGCCAGTCCTCCTTTCCCTCATCCAGCCCCGTGTTTTCAACTCTTCTACAACATGCTGCAATTTTTTGATGAAAAAATAGAAATCAAAGTTCTATCCTTTTTAGTGGAAAGTTTTATCAGAGAGGATTAATTGTAAAAAATTACACTTTTGTTAGCTCTGAAATACCCAGGCAGAGTTTTACAACTGACTATGGAGAGTTGAGACTTTGGTGATAAAAAATGTTAAGTTTAGTCAGATTTGAAAAAGACAGTGAGGAGCAAACAATTAATCACAAGTTGATTTGAAATACTCTGTAAACAGCTTTGGCAGAGAAGATAGAGGATTTTTTCCTCAAATATTTATGAACCTAAAGATACAGATGGGTAGTGGGTGAGATTTTTAAGAGCTCTGTTATGCTAATTTATATTCACCAAGGATTTTGGAATTGTCTGTAGCAGAACTGCAAAACATTAGAACCTTCCCCTCCGATGCTCAAGCTCCCCCTTGGACAAATACCCATTACTTTCACAGAAAACCTAGTATAACCTCAGTATTACACACATAAAGGGCATAGGAGGAATGTTTTAACTGAAATGAGCAGGTTGCTCTGCTCTTGTGTAATGAAGAGTATCTGCTGGGAGAGATTTGAAATCTCACCAATTTTCACTTACAAGAAAGGTTTGCATCCCCATCAATATGTGTTTCATGTACTGAGTAGAAAAGACAATTTCAACTTTTTTTTTTTTTTCAGGGAGCAGTAACATGAGTTTTCAAAGAAGACTGGGTTCTTTATTATTAAAATGCCTGTCTTTTATTTCATTTATTCTGCTTTTGCTAGTCACATGGTTAAAGTTAGGAAAACAAACAGCAGATACTTTCCAGTCAGGAATGTTTACATTAGGTCTAGCTTATCTGTGCAAAGAATAATCTATGAACTCTCTCTGGCCTTTTGGATAAGCAAACGTAAACCTCATTTCCCTTTATTGTCCACTCCATATAATAACTAGCCTTTCCAAAGCGCTTCACAGAGGTTATTCCATCCAGGGTGGCTCCTGGGGATTTCCTTTAATGACTGAAGGGATCACTGTATGCATTACTGAGTAGTAATATTGGAGTTGTGATGGTCTAAGGATAAAGCAGGTAAGTTTGTAGGGGGAGGTATCACCTCATCTCAAACTAATCAATACAGCTGGACAAAGAGAAGCCTTCAAGCATGAGTCTTTTCTCATATCTCTGAAGGTAAACTGACGTGCTCCACAGGTTCATGCATGCAATCACACAGTCCCGTCTCTTTTTTGTGAGCATCTGTACAAATCCTCTGTGAGCTAAACCAGCTCAGTAAACTAGTAGAGGACTAATCCAGCAAAAAACAGTGGATTTTTGGGGTCAGTCAACAATCTGATTTGGCCCCTTGCAAGGCCACACTTGGTGCCATAGATGGTAGGAGCAAGGGAGAAGAGGAAAAGAGGCAGGCTACCCTTTCTGGTGACCATAAGATGTATTATTGTTGCAGTTATCTGGTGTGGTTAGGCTCTGGTTTGGACCTTTCAAAGGGCTTCTTTAACTCTGCTCAGCTGAAATGCTTCAAAAAACAGCAATCAGCCTAACCATCATAATGGTAGACTTGAGCTTTCATTAGCAGTCAAGAGGTGGACAGTGCTATTAACATCTTTCATTAGAGGTTTTGCAGCACTTCTCACAGTTCCTGCTCTTTTTGGCATGTAGGCACTTAGACTGTGGCTTTCTCAAGGCAGTCATGTAGCTGGTGCCAACATGAGGCTGAGTTACTCGGTTACTCCTTGTTGCTGATCATGCCTTTACCTCTGTAAAGACACAAAAGATTAAATAGCTTGAGTATCATATGCTTGCTGAAAGGGCCTCTTCCCTAGCACATCGAAGTTATTGAAAATGCTCTCACTCATTTCAGTGAGATTTGGATCTGGTCACATACAAGCTGGCAATTCCAAGCCTGCTGAGAAATCTTGTCCTGCTATAGAGATTATAGGATCTAAAAGGCAGGGTAAAGATACCAAGTCAAAGCTGCAAGCTAAAACATGGCAAAGGGCTTTATTTATTCTTTATTTATTATAAATTGTGGTATAAATCTTCATTGGAGTAATTAGATAATTTGTTTTAAGGAGGTGTACAGTTCTGATACAAAAAATACAAAAATGAAGAATTGCCACACTTATTCACATTCAGATAAGTGACCCAACCTGCAAAAAGCTATAAATAAATTTTTTCTTAAATTTGTGCAAGCTAGTAATGTATGTGTTGAGAAAGCCAGTTTGTAACCATGTGCTTTAAAAAAGAAATATCTTTGAAAGAAATATAGTTATGAGATAAGAGACTTAGAGCCCATGTGTAGCTCTGAGGGCTCCTGTTTTATTCAATCCATAAAACCCCACGATGTTTTACGGTCTCCCACATGAACACAACATGCACATGAGCTGACTGGACTGAAGTTCTTGACTGTGTTATGAACACAAAATGCCTCACCCTTATCTCATTCTTTAGCTGCTTTCACCTGCTGCAAACTTCATGTTGGTTCCTTTAAAGCTGCTCTGTTGCAGTGACTCACTTGGAAATTATGGGTTTTCGTGCCTAAATGTTCTGTTATGAAAGAGAGAAAAATAAAGATTCTTCACTTTTTCTCATTTAAGTAGATTTACACAGCTACTATCAGCAGTTGAGATTGTTTTTCAGTAAAGGCACAACTCCGGGGCTTTACTTTCATCTTTCTCTGTCAGAAACCTTCCAGAAAAATCTCTTCCTTATGACACCTTTTTTTGTTCACCCAGGTTTCCAATGTGAGCTTTGTACTACAGCAAGACAGGCTGCTGTCTTCCTGGGCAAGAAGAAGCTGTGGAGATGTTCAGGAAGAAATAGCAGCAGCCCAAGTTTCTCACGTAGCCTGTGAATGGATCAGCCACACGGCCCATTACATTGCTCAGCTCTATGTGGTGGCTCTTACATCAGTGTAATCAGACCATACTGACCCATCAATCACAGATGCTGCATGCCCCCATGCTATAGGACACTTCTACCAAATCTTAGTCCTAGTGGAAGATCAAAAGCTGCCACTATAATGGCCACAGTGAAGCAGGAGGATAAATGAATGGCAGGATCAATATGCTGTGTCCCTCCAAAGGCAGGGGTACGTTACATAAAAATCAGGCCAGCCCTACAAAGTGAACCATGCCTCACACTATAAAGGAAGGCAACTCTTCTCCATCCAGTCATTGCCAATCTGGGCTGAAAGAAAATTCCTGATCCCAAGTCATGATATTGGAAAAGTAGCAAACCCAGGCTTTTGACATACAGCAAAATACCTGCACTGAAACACAGCACCAAACCATCACCAATCTCTAGGGAACGAAAACCCTGCTCCCTACTCTTCCAGGAGACATATTAAACACTAAGAAGAGAAAAGATGCTTTCTGGAGAGCTTGCTCTACATGAGGGAAATTCTTCACCTTAATTGGCAGCAACTGGGAAGTAATATTCAGGTGCCCAGAGTTGAACTAAGTCAGTCAGGAACGTAGATTGGTTAGCTTACCTTGACCCCAACTCATTAGCATACTCAGTTTTTCAGGCCTTTCAGATTTTATTCTGATCCAACCTGGGAAGCTGAACCGCCATGTCTTGGTGGAGGTCTGTGTTGGGTCAATGTTCTGGAGAGAGACCATAGCAGAAGTGTGCTCTGTGTCTCCTAAATAAAAGTATACACTTTTCCAGCTTCAGGGAATCACCACACCAATCTCTTGGTACAGACCTCCCCAGCACTCCTAAATCTGAACACAGTATGGGGAAGGTTGAATGTCACTTCAGAAGACCTCTTGGAATTAGCACTCTTGTATCAGAGAATTTAAAAATTACTTTTTCTTAGCTTTAATGCCAAATTCTGTACCTTTGCTGAATGATAGAATTTAACCTCTTCTTGAACACCTTTGTCATTATTTCTATGACTGAAAGCTGCTTAGTTGCTCTGGTGCAAGGCCTTTTGTACCTCATTTTCCCACATTTTCTACAAAAATATAATTTAAAGAACTGCAGGGAAAATTGACGCTTCCTAGGTAATAAAATATAGAAACTCTGTGATTTATTTCTTGTCCACAGATTCCCTGTAGGGTCTGCAGGCACTCATAACACCAAGAGAATCATTGCTTTGCCTTCCATAAACATGCTACCAAGTACTGCCACCATTCCTATCACACCACCACATATTGCTCTAGGCAACCACCACCAAGGAAAAGTATCTGCTGGAATTTGGAGTCTCGTCATAATTATAAAATTACTTCTTTTTTTCTCCTGCCTTTGAGGTTTGCACTTGATTGCCTTAGTTCATGTGCCCAGGGGATTCCTGTTTCCATTTGTTATTCTGGGGAGGATAATATTCTCAGTGACACTGCACTACTTTCCTTCTATTGATTTCTTTCCCATGCACCAGGGAACATAATCTTAGGATGAGCATTTTGCATATGCCATTCACTTAGAGCATTGGTTGTTGGAGCAAAGATCAGTGATGGACAAAAATATCTGTGTTCCTCCACAGAGCACTGAAACATGTAGTCTGAGCTAGAGGAATGGTCCCAAGAACAGCTGTGACATGGGATTCTTCACAGGGCCACAACTAATTCTGACTTCTTCCGTGTCCCAGGACAGCGGCAAGGAGCAGCCAGTCCAGACCAAATAAAATCAGATACCCATTCTTTATCATTGCTTTGTTCTATGGGCTGATTCAAAGGACCAAAGGAGGAAGCATCGTCAAGGCTGATCATGTGGAAGCAAATTTAGCAGGAGCAGGGCTCAAGTCAGGATCCAGTTGCTTGTCGAGAGCACAATATTCCTCCCAACTTAGCCCCACAGGTAACCCATGCGAAGATAAAAAGGGAAATCTCATCTCACTTTCTTCCCTCTGTAAGTGAGCAGATAAATTTCATTTCTCTCTTTTCCTGAAGTCTCTTCTGATTGAAATACTTAAATTCAAAAATCTTTGCTGGAACCTAAATTCAGCTTGGACTGTAAACTTTTACATAACATTATTTGCATTCTCCTCAGTTACACTGCTTTGGCACTGGCTGTAGTGGAGTGATGTCAATCAAAGAGGAAAAGTCATCTCACTTACTTTATTATTGCTCCATACTTGATTCCCTTTCTTTCAGTTTATCCATTTGCAATAATAAAGAGATCTTTCACGTGATTACTAGGTAGCATAACTAAGTTCCACAGCTATTCATCACTTAAATGTCCTTGCTGTGAAATTCCACGCACAAAAGCGAATGTGTAGCGAAAGCTCATTTGGAAAAGAAAATATTTCATATTGGTATATTCATTAATGACTGTCTAATAGTCAAATTCTTTGCATATTATTATTGTAATTTTCCCCAGCAAGACACAGAAATTGCTTGGCAAAGCAATCATCAAAGCACATAAGCATATGTCCTGAATAGATCCTTTAAGTTAGTCGTATGGTCAAGTACTTTGCTGAACTGGGAGCTCTACATTATACAGTGGCTGCTTCCAGAACTCTGGCCCACTAAAAAGTACAGACTAACAGACAAGGAAGTGTAAGGTTGACAAAAGGAAAAGAAAACTTGAAATTATATGGTGACTACGTCTGCTTCAGATAATACATGATCTTAGTGACATAATAAAGCATGAATCAAAATAAAAAATAAAATTATTTTACTAGTCAAGACCTATCTACATCCTTGTCCTCAGCCCATAGTCATGGAAGGACATCCATGAAAAACAGGCAGAGGCCACATGGATAGGAAGAGTATAGGGACAGGTAAAGATGATTTTTAGGAGATGACGTAATAAAGCTGGTGCCACTGGCAAACCATAAAGGACAGTTGCTGCAAAAAGATGAGAGGCATGGATGAAGCAGAAGTACAGTACTGGAAAAAAGGAAGCTTTAAATGACATAGAATGAAACAGTAAAGACCTATATGCAAGATTTCTGACTCAACCTGCTATAAGCAAGGTTTGACATAAATACGCTGTCATTATAGCAGTGAATTAGAGAAATCTGTCTCCATCCCATTCCACAGTTCATCACCTTAACATAATCATCTCTACATGTTTGTGAACATCTATGAATAAGCATTTTGCTTCATTTCCATCCACACATGTACTTCTTAATTCTGTTCTTCTATACACTGTTTAAAATTGATTCTTTAGCCTACCAGCCTAGCCTGAAATGCTATTATCACAACAGTTTTTGAAGTTTTTTTCCAAATAAAAGATAGACACAGACTTCTAGAAACAGTTTAAGGACTGTAGTCCTATGAAACCTGAAGTCTCAAGATAACAGAGTGATAAGGCACTGATCAGAAGATTCTTCTGCACTTTCTGATAGAGAGTGTCAGAAAGAACTTAGCTCTAAAATAGTTTGTAATGCAAATGTACTTTTCCAAGAAAACAAACATTGTTTTCCACACAAAGTGCAGGTGCCATTAATGGAAGTCAACTTTTTGTTAATATGCAAACAAAGAACTCAGTAAATATCAGCATCTAATCATGCTATTTTACAGCAACAAAATTCCTGCTATTATGGCTCCCTTGACAGAGATGCATTATGAGAAAGAAATAAATTTGAGACAAATTATCATCTCCAAAAAACATAATAACAAGAGAGAGGATCGCTTTTGTTCAAATGTATTTTCTGTTCTGCAATGCATGAGTTGTTAATCATCACTGCACAGGGAAGTAACTTTTTCCACTCCAAGAAATGAAGACTAAAGTTAAAATAAGGTGGGCCAAGATTTTTGTCCTAAACACAGGAATCGAACAGGAAGGTGTCTCCTCTGCCTTAGCATAGTCTTTCTGTATTTAAGCAGGTATAAATGAGATCAGAATATGATAATCTTTCAGATCCCTACTGGGAAAACACTCAAACAGCATTTCTAGACAGTTTCAGTAAGTGCATTGCACTGGTAATTTAATGACTAATTGCAAAATCTATTATCTTGGAGATGAAAAGATTTTTGAAGATTTAAGATCAGATTTCAAGTTCAAGAAAAGCAGGAAACAAAAAAGAACAATAAACTAAATACTGGAAAACACATGCATGACTCAAAGTCCTATAATAGAAACTATGTAACTTCCATATACATTAGTATGATTAAAAACAATTACACAATATGCTCTGTATCGAATGTGAATTAGAAAATTTCAGAGAACTATTGAAAATGAAGAGGACAAAGAAGCATGAACCTTACTTTACCAAAACTGAACAGCAAATGACTAGGAGGCCAGAACAGTAATGCTTACCAGGCAAGGCACAACACCTGGACAAAGCTTAGGAGGTCACTGTCTTCAAAAGCCGACCATTAAAACTGCCAGGTGTACAAAGCATCTGAGGCACTGAAATGTCTAAGGCAACTTATTCAGCATATAGCTTAAGGAAGAGAGGGACAACAACCCAGAAAAATGTGGAGAGCAAACTATTATGTTAGATATGAAGGAGCTTCTAAATATTGTTACAGGGACCTGGCTGTCTGAGCCGTGGATGGTTACATCATGAGACAAAACAATAACTCTCCCTTGGGTAAAATTAGCCTCTGTAGGAAAGGCCAGTTTTGAAGACTCAGGTGGGACAAAAACAATGCAAAAACCTTATGATGACTCCTCTCAATGGACCCTTTTGGGGCAAGAAAAATAGGACTGAGTTAATTAAGAGTTGTTTTTCAAATAAGCTTCTGGACCAGAGGCTGGTGTTGGACTCGATGATCCTTGTGGGTCCCTTCCAACTCAAGAGATTCTAAGATTCTACATTTCATGCACATTTTGATAAGTTTTGTGTTATTTTCCTTGTCTTTTATCTCAGTCTCTGAAACAAAAAGAATCTTCAATTTTCAAAACTACACTTCAGAGCTTCAGGTGTGCAGAAGGCATAGAAACATGCAAATCCTTGCCTTACCTGGGAAATAGAGACTCCTGAGAGTAGTCTGTGAAATGCTGGAAACTATGAGCTATTAGCTGGCATAGACAGACATAATGTAAACTGACAGCACAAACTCAAAACATTAATAGCCAAGCAAAATGAACTCTGCACACTTGTATGTATCAGAAAATGCGAAGTGACTGCTTTGTAAAGAATGGTAAAATATGCTGCAATGGAGAAAAGCAAATGATAAACACTTTACAGGAAAGAAAAGTTATGAGATGAATCTGTTGGTGCCTCCATTTTCTTCTGATCTTGTTGACCTACTTCTAGCCATGTACACATTTTATGTACACAGCTTATGTACACAGCTTATCCCCTGTAATATATGACTGCATTAACTTCAGTAATGCAAGTGCTTTGGAATGAGAAAATCAAGGCTGATAGCACATCAGTTGTGTAGCACTGGTAAGCAAGTGGAGGTTGCATACCAGCTAATTCAAGAAGATCACAGGGATCTGGCACAAAGAAAGTGTACATCTGATTTTGAATGAAGCAGGACATGAAGCAGATTCCACAACCACTCCTACTTACATCACTACCAGACAGAGACAAGTTTCAGGCAGGACCAACATTTACACATACACAGATAATAAAAACAGGAAAGATCTTCTGCACATGCAAATCTTACCTCTATGTAATAGACTCCAGGGCATGACATCAGTCATCCCTGCAGTAAACTCTAATCATTCAGGGCTATAATTAGACAAGAAGGCAAACGGGGACCAACCACGCTTTTTAAGAAAATCAAACCCAATCTCTCAACAATTGAGATCAACAGAAGCCAGGGTAGGAGGCAGTGGGAAGGGAAGAAATGAGACTGTAGGGTAGAGGACCACTGAGAAATCTGTGTGCAGAAAAGGAGAATGGGGGACCTCAATACCCCTTACTCCTATGTAGTCACTAACACGTGCTGGAAAGCATAAGATTCTTTCTGTTTCTTATCTTCTTTCTACCCCAGCCCCTTTGTAACCATCTGATGCCTCCCCCAGCCATAATCCCACCTCCACAGGACCATACACTTACTATCTTGCTCTCAGAGGCTTCTTGGAAACACCTCCTCCCACATGCACCATGGGTGAGGAGGAGACAAGCATCCTCCTCTTATTCTGCACAATAAACAGGAGAAAACCAGAAGGAAAAGAAGAACATACAAAAAGGTGCAAGCTATTCTAAGCAGAAAAAGGGAACATGGGAATAATCTGTAGAAGGGAAACTAAAAGAGATGCGAAGTTCAGAGAAGGTTGGCAGAAGAACCAGAAGAGCAATCCATCTCTCCTAAAACTGATGCAGTATCAAGCTCAAATTTTCCTTGCATTACTTTATATTGAATACAAGGAAACTTAGTATGTGTCTAATAACCAGCATTCAGCAGATAGTTCAGCCATGTTTTAAAAGCCTCTATAATTTCCTATCTTTATCAGATTTCCTACCTCTAATGTCAGACACTTACTGAGATCTAGTCCTTTTCCTTGCTATGTTTCTCTGTCCATGTATCTATTATGTATGAGAACCTGCATTTTACTAAAATATCTGTATTTACTGTATTTTTTTCCAATATCGTCTGTTCTCTTTATCTTATCTTTGTCCTTTTCTAGTCTCATTATGTGAAAGCAGAAACAAAATTAATGCCCACAGACAAACTGAGGTGCAATTCATGAATACAAACTGAGAGAAGGATAAGCAGAAACCCCCTCTGCTGTCATGCATGACATTCATTCCTCCCTTAATTAATGCCTCTTATTCCCTTGGTATTGCTTTGTCCATTGATAATTTCTCAAAACAACTCATTATTTTAGCTAACTGATTATACTCTTTCTTTATAAAAGGAATTTACTATTTGCCATTTTAAGAATTATTTCTACAGCCTCAGTTTAGAGACAAGATGTTTTGCTCTTCTTTGTGAAAGGCTTGTATTTTAATCAAGTCACAACATAATTACAGTATTTTACATAAATATCAACATAAAATCTGGATCTTAACTACAAAATTCTCCATTTAGCTAGTTAAGTGCTTCTGTGTTCCCTATTACTTTTCCGTCTGACCATCTCATGTTGCTTAATGAATTTTCATAGGGCCCAGTTATTTGCCTGGATAGAGAAGTGAAGCAAGGATGGAAAATTTGGGGCTTCATCAAAAGAATAAACAGATCCAGATCTGTACCACTGATGGGGAGGTTGGGTTTGTCTGCCCACATGCCCAGCCCAGCACTCTCTCAGCTTCCTTGTGCAGGTACCAGCTCTGACACAGCAGTGCAGTCAGCCAGGCTCATCATCCAGAATTACAGCTGCTTTTCTCTGGGCATCAGGGCTGTGTACTTCTGCCTGATAAAACCTTTGGTTGC